ATCAAAAAATAAATAAATATATAAAAAGTTGTCCATAAACTTAGCATATTAATTATTACCATTTTAATAATCTAAAGGAGGTTAGCCAAATAGTACCGCCCCTGGATGAGATCAAAAGAGTTGATTAGGAATCTAACATAAACAAATACCATATGGCCCCATGCTAACTAATCTAGACGCCATTTTTAAAAAGTTGAAGAGTAATGCTATGTTTGGCTCTCACTTATTATACATACTAGTATTTTTATATATTTATGAAAAATAAATATTAAAAATGATAATTTACAAAAATATTGATAATAATTTTAATTTAATTTATATTATATTATAAAACTTAATCAATTTTAATAAATTTTAAGTTTCACTTGTTTATGGTGTGGTCACTTGATATATCAAATAAAAAATTTATTATCAGTTAACGGTTAAATGATCAAATACTAATACTTATATAAGTTTTTAATGAAAATGTTATTTTTTGAAATCTAAATATTAAAATAAAATTTTTTCACCCAAAAATTAATGATAAAAAAGGATTTCTTAATTTAAAATAAAATTATCTCAACTGTTAAGTTTGCTTCTAGTAATAAACCAATATTTAAATGAAGCTAATAATATAATTTTTTGAATTACTTATAAAATTTCTATTTTTTAATTTAATTGAACTAATGAAAACTTAACCTTAGTTACTTTTTTAAGAGAAATAAAATGTGCTTTTCAAACTATTAAAATTAAAATTTAAGTTTATTTTGCTTCTTATAAAGTTACCTAAAAGGCAAAAGTAAAATCATCTAAAATTAGAAATGAATAAATAATATATTAAAATGCAATAACAATTCTAATATAATTATTATATATCAAAGCGAGAACCACAATGTTTTAGTGTTATATCCAAATAGGTTTTTTACCTTTGGTTTTTGAAAGTTATTTAAATTTCAATAGTAACCAAACATAACCTAAAATTTTCCTAAGTTTTAACATTTCTTTAATGTTATTAAAGGGATAATCAGTAATTAGATGAAGATATCAGGTGTCATATTTCAATGACTTCAAATCCAAATTAAACAATGCAAGTTGTTTTTTTTAATGCTTTTGACAGATAACATGAAAGGGTTCCAGCTCAAAGAAATTGACTTAAGTACAACTTTTCTTATTAAAATGTTACAAGTTCATCAAATGATCATTGGGAAGTGGAAGCACATGGCAAACCACTCTGCTTTTATATGTCATTTTGTATTTGATGATCATGTGTTTTGACCTGCAGACGAAATTTTTTAACGTCTTCCTTGTCTTCTAACTTTTATGTTAATAATATTCTTATTAGGAGAAAGATTAATTTATATCAATGTAAAATTTTTTAATTTTATATTTTTTAATTATTAATTTTAATAATTTAAAAATAAAATAAAATAATTTTTTATTCTTTAAATCTATTAAAATAAATTATTCATAAAAATATAAAATTAAAAAATGTTATACTAATATAAGTAAATCTTACCCTTTCTTACTTAATTACCTTAAAATAATTTGATAATAACCTTGTTGTTGTTTTTCCATTTAATTTGCCTATATATGTACCATCAGTTCATTATCTTTCATTTAATTTATAATTAGATTAAATTTCCTGAAAGCTAGGTGAATTTTCACAACCATAACTTCATAAGCAAGCGAATATTTTAGATAATTCAAGTAATTAATTAAAATAAAATTTTTTAACAATTTAATTTTGTGTTTACCTGCTCTATTTTTTTTTTTCATTTTTGCTATGGGTAGGTCTAATCTTTAAATCAAACATTTTTGTTTTGTTTTTATCTTTTATTTTAATAGATGAATGGTCTAAATACAAACGTACATTGCTAAAAAACAACCTGGAAATCAAAAAATCAAGTAGGAGTACATAGTTCAATGAAAATAAAAATGAACTGCTCTCCAATCTCCCCAGATCTATGCCAATATTTAACTATATTTCAGCATTTTCCAGGAAATCTCGAGCCTGAGCTGGAAGATATAGCTCGTCTTGAAAATCCACTGCCAACCTGTTTTTCTGATTATCGAGATATCCTTTGGCAGTTTGTTTCAGTTTATGACTTTTGAGGCACAGAGCGGAATCCATGGACAAAAGTCGAATTCATAGTTTTTTTAGATAACATCCATCTTTTAAATTATAGTTAAATGTATGATGTAATATTTAAATTTTAAAAATTTTTATATTGTTATTTAAATTCATATGATATTTATTTTTAATATAATTAATTTAAAAAAAATTATGTGATGAATAAATAATTTTTTAAATATTATATTAATTAATAAATTTATAATTTAAATAATATATTACGAATTTTAAAATAATCCAATAAAATTCGTGATATTATCCGATTTTTCAATTTTCTTAGCGGCTTCCCTTTATGCTTATACACAGTCTATTCTTTTATGTTAGCTGTAAATTATAATTTACTCTTCATTCAAAAACAGCATTTTTTTTATACAACAATCATCCTGAAGGAAGCTACGATGGATGCTCACTCTTTGGTATTTTCCTGAATCTTTAGCTCTTACCCTTCACTTTGCTTTTTTTTTTTTCCTAATGCTTTCCTTTTCCTTTAATATCCTAGAGTTGTCCAAACCCAATTCTTCGATCCTAAAGTTAACTACAAATAATATCTTAAAGAAGATTGAATAAAATAATTATTTTATTTTAACATATATTTTTTATTTAAATTATGTCACATAATTATATTATTAAAAAAATTAAATATTTATTATATATTATAAGTGATAATTAAATAATGAGTATTTATTTAAATAAACCCATGTTTATAATGTATAATAAAAATTAATGTTTTGATAATATGATTATATAATATAATTTAAATAAAAATGATATATACTAAGATCAAATAATTGATTCATAAAATTTTGGTAACGGGCACAATTATTGCCATTTGCTGGTTTGTCAAAACCCATTTACTTTACTTTAGGGGAAATTAAAATTTTAAAATTGTTTTTTAAAAAAAGAAATTGTAAGTTGAATTTTCAAATCACTGTTAACATAGTATGACGCTCGATAAACAATGAGAAAAAAATATTACATTGAATTCAAGGACAACAAAGAACATTTATAGAATAACACTAAATATGTATTGTATAAGAAGTTATTTAAAATTTCCTATTAAAATATGGACTTAGTCAAATATTGCCTCATTGAAATGACATATATAATCAACAAATCTAATTAATTACACTACAGGTATAGTATATAATAAGACAATATCCTCTAAATTCAGAATTATATAGTCTTTGTTTTTCTTTTTCTTTTTTTTCGTAAGAGCAAAGAATAAGCAAACATATTTTATTTTTCAAAAACAAAAATAAATGATATTTATAGATTAAATAAACACCCATTTTTATCTAAAATATACGACTTATTACTCGATTGTGAATTTCATCAGAATTTTTTGGTCCCATGTAAATTTATTTCAATTCATAACTTAAAATGTGTTTTTACGAAACACAATGCTTTTTTTTGTTCTCAGCAAAAATAATAATAACCTGAATATATAAGACATGTAAAATTTGTCATTATACTAATTAAAAAAATGAATTTAATTGTCTATGTTTTACCAAAAAATAAAAAAATATATAAAAAGTTGGCCATAAACTTAGCATGTTTATTATTACCATTTTAATAATCTAATGGAGGTTAACCAAATAGTAACGCCCCTGGATGAGATCAAAAGAGTTGATTAGGAATCTAACAAAAACAAATACCTGGCCCCATGCTAACTAAAATACATAGACGTCATTGTTGAAAAGTTGAAGACTAATGCCATGTTTGGCTCTCACTTATTATGCATACTAGTATTTTTATATATTTATGATAAAAATATTAAAAATAATAATTTATGATAATATTTATAATAATTTTAATTTAGTTTATATTATATTATAAAACTTAAAAGATTTAATAAATTTTAAGTTTCACTTGTTTATGGAATGATCACTTGAAATATCAAGTGGAAAGTTGATTATCTGTTAATGGTTAAATGATTAAACAGTAATACTTATATAAGTTGTTGATGAAAATGTTATTTTTTTTTAATTTAAATATTAAAATAATAAATTTAAAAAAATTAAATGACAAAAAATAAAATATTTTTAATTTTAAGTAAAATTATTTCAATTGTGAAGCTTGCTTCTACTAATAAACCAATATTTACATTAAAGTAATAATATAATTTTTTTGAATTACTTATAAAATTTCTAATTTCTAATTTAGTTTAACTAATGAAATTTTAACATTAGTTATATTTTATGTGAAATAAAATGTGTTTTTCGAACTATTAAAATTAAAAATTAAATTTATTTTGCTTATTATAAAATTACTTAAGGGCAAAAGTAAAATCGTTTAAGATTAAAAGTGAATAAATAATTAAAATGCAATAACAATTCTAACATAATTGTTTTATATCAAAATAAAAACTCCATTTTTAGTGTACTAAAATCCAAAATCCAATTTGATTTTTTCATTGTACAATTGCCAGTGCCATTCAATTTCTCTCCAAAGTTCAAACCCATTTCCAAGTCTCTGATCGTTCATATTCAAGCAGCTGCTTTTCATTTCAACCACCCATCATGCCTAAATTAAGAAAATAATATAAACATAAAAAATTCATAAAGTTTTAGCTTATAACAAATCAGCCATGAAGAAGAAATAAAACGGCGGCCCCTTCAAACACTTAAAAGGCATAAGAGTTCTGTGATTTTTCTAGTTTTAAGATAAAAAAAAAGTCAAAACCTAACCTCAAACCCGCTTGTTATTGATCGTTAGTCAAACTGACCGTTAGCCTACGCCGTCATCATAAAATTTACCGTCTGACAAATAAACTAGAGATTAAAATGGGAAAAGAGGTGAAAAGAAAAGAGGGGAAAAGGTGATTTATGTAACCATGTCTACTTTTGAAACAATTTACCAGAGTTTTCTGTCAAGTTTAACCATGTCTTGTTCAAAGAATGATTTCTTTAACTTCAAAAAGTCCATCGGAAAAAAAAAAGCAAAAATTAAAAATAATTATGACATTTAGATTACTAAGCGGGATCGTACACACAAACTCTGAATAGAAAGAGAAAATCAATTTGATTTGGATCTATTCAGGAGGCACCAAAAAGTTGGAGCTCTCAAGCTGTGGAGATTTGTACGTTCTTATCAGCAGCAGCAAAGAAGCTGTTCCGGCTGTTGTTCACTTTTCCTGGTTGCAAATTTCCTTTCCATGGACACCAAATCAATATTGTCGGTGAGATGCTTGGCTGCTCCAACTGTGGGTGGGCTAGATTTGGTAGACTTGATTGCAACTTCTAAGACAGGGCCCTTGAAGATGAAGATTTCAACCGCTACAGTCTGTTAGAGGCACAGACTTGAAGGAGTCGAGAACTTTGAGGTTTGGAGCAGCTGGATGGGGATACCGGACATTCCCTGATTTGGGGATAGCATTTAGTTTCTCTGCAACGAACTGATGCTTGACTTTGTGTTTTTCAAATCGAGATATGCGACATCCCCTGATTTGATGATAGAATTCAGCTCCTCTAAAAACACACCAATGCTTGAGATTCCCAGGTGAATCACTTTGTTTCAGCATAGATGTCTTGATTCATAATGCTTAAATATACAGGAAGCATATCAAAATGGTTAGTCACTGGAACAAATAGTTCAGAAAACACATAAATCGAAACAATTGTCAAAGCAAGCATGGATTGAAACTACATTGAGTGTTGTTTCACATTGTTTATCACACAATCACAGCTACTTTAAAAGTTTAATCCAGGCAAAGAACAATTATAGCTCCACCAAACTGAAGGAAAAGACAATGGAAAGACCAAAGCAAGGCTTACCATCAAGGAGTAGCATGAGTTCCCAGTGTCTGCATGAGGTAAGGTTGAAAGATGATCAAAACAAAAGAAGTTTCAAGAGAAACTTACAATAAAGAAACCACAAAACTCGAGGTTCAATACCATTTTAGTGCAATCATTTTATAGTCAGAAGCTGGGTTCCAACATGCAGAAATCAATCCATGAATCATACATATCTCTGTTGAGTCATAGAACAGTTTCCACTTTCTACACGTAAAGTGAAGGATCTGTTCAAGACACAGGTTAAGCCTTTGGTCCAACAAATGTCATGCACAAGCATCTTGTTTAGCATGTAATTGAGGTGGTATCACTTCTTCACAACAGACAAATATGAGTCAATCAAGCAAACATATTTCTCAACCATTGAGATCCTCACTCATGTATAATAGAATATTGTTGTGGAAAAACAATTTCGAACATGGAGATTACCAGAATAATAAAAGGTAATACATAAGATCATTGAAATCCTCAGCCCTCCTGGTCTAAGATTCTGAATCCTGGTGTGGTGTTGCAGAAACAAACCTATTGCTACTGTTAAATACCTCACATATTAGATAGTGAAACAACTGAAACACAACCTTGAGCTGTCAACTGTCATATTGTTTATATCGAGTAGTGACAAGTACAATAGTCCAAAAAGAAACAAAATGTTGATATATATTTTATTTATAAGGAGTTAACTCACTTTATCATATATGCATATCAGCAAGCTAGGTTTGAGAAAATGATTCCATCCAAAGGATTGTCTAGCTAAATCTCCATTCAATGAATACCATACAATCTCAGGTTCTTTTACAAATTCAAAGCCAAAGCAAAAAGGTAAATGATGCCTGCAATTAATCATGAAGCAAGTTAAACCGAATAACTAAAACATGGAATGAACACAATCTGACATAATTTGAGATATATGAGCAATATGGTATCACCTTCAACCACTCACATTGCTGCATTTCCCTGCTAGAAAACAGTGCCTCCATTTGAATGGTTTTAAACCCTGTAGCTGGATAGAAGATCCCAAATAAGGGTGTGGAGGAAAATAGAAATCTTGTACCTCATGCTCAGCTTTGAAGAGATAAAGAGTTACCTGCTAAATCATGAAATGCTTACAATCTCTTCTCCCGAACTTTTCTACTTACTGACAAAGTAAAACAAGGGTGGCCTCCTTAGTATAGAAAATAAATGACAGTCTTGTAATCTGTTGTGTTTCCTTCATATCCTTCACCGTCTGAATGAGTTTGGAAGGATCATCAGCATAATGCCACAATCAAGCTTACCTAACTTAAGGCAACAATCACACAGAAAAGAAAGGACAAAGGTCTTATGCATTCTGATTTTAATTGTCAAAGGACACCAGCTTCTATGCCATTAATTAGATTATTTGTTTATAGCCAAAATCAATGTGCTATAAGCAAAAATTTTAAAATGTTCTCATTCACTTAAAGGAAAATCGCATAATAAATTAATCTACATTTCTTAGGCTATATATATTTCCCTCAACTAAGGAAACTTGTCAAAAATACCCTAGATGTTGCTATAATTTCTAAGGTACATAAGAGAATAACCTCTGAAGTGCTTTTGCCTATATTAAGAAAAGATCTCAATAGTTGAACTATAGACAGTGGTGCTTCTCAGTTCCCCAATATTATGCCACAACAATTAAACAAAGACAAATACAATTAACATATTTGGGAAAAAAGGATGACCATTGAACAAAAAGTTTTCTGATAGAGAAAAACAACTGATGCTGGAACGAACTGATGCTGGACTTTGTGTTTTTTCAGATCAAGGTATGGGATATCCCCTGATTTGATGGTGGAATCTGGCTCCTCTAAGAACACACCAGGACTTGCGTTTCCCAGGTGAATCACATTGTTTTGAAAAGATGTCACTCCATGCCAATTCATAATGCTGAAATAGTTCCAAAAACACAAATAAATCAGTTTCATAATTCAGCTCCTCTAGAAAGCATATCAAAATGGTGAGTCACTGGAATAAATTGTTCAAAAAACACATAAATTCAAACCATTGTCTAAGCAAGCATGAAAGAAAACCACATGAATTGTTCCTTCACATTTTTTATCATATAATATCAGGTTGTTCAAAAGCCCAATCCAGGCAAAGAGTAATTTATAGCTCCACCAAACTGAAAGAAAAAATAATGGAAAAAGCAAAGCAAGGCTTACCATCATGGAACGGCATCATATGCATAAGCATCGTGTTTAGCGTGGAATTAAGCTAGCAACACTCCTTCACAACGGACAAATATGAGTATGTCAAGCAAACATATTTCTCAACCATTGAGATCCTCACTCATACATAATAGTATGTTGTTGTGGAAAAACAATTTGAACAAGGTGATTACCAGAAAAACGAAAGGCAGTACATGAGATCATTGAAACCTCAGCCCTCCTGGTCTACGCTTCTGAGTCCTGGCGTTGTGCTGCAGAAACAAACCTATTACTACAGTGAAATGTCTCACATATTAGATAGTGACGCAGACTGAAACAGAACCTCGAGCTGTCAAAGGTCAAATTGTTTATATTGAGCAGTGATAAGAATGATAGTTCACAATGAAAACAAAAATATTGATATAATATTAAATTTATAAGGAGTTAACTCACTTTATCAAATATGTCTTATCAGCAAGCTAGGTTTAGGAAACTGATTCCATCCAAAGGATTGTCTGGCTAAATCTCAATCCGATGAATACTATACAATCTCAGGTTCTTCACAAATTCAAAGCCAAAGCAAAAAAGTAACTGATGCCTGCAATTAATCATGAAGCAAGTTAAACTGAATAACTAAAACATGGAATTAACACTATCCATGCATTGTGATTTTAATTGTCAAAGACACCATTTTTTATGCCATCAGTTATTTTTTGTTAACAGGAATATATGCCATAAGCAAAATTTTAAAACGTTCTCATTCACTAAAAGGAAAGTATGCATAATAAGTGAATTACCTACATTTTTATGGTATATTTCCGTTAACTATGGGCACTTGTTAAAAATATCCTAGTCATTGCCATTATTTCTAAGGTACATAAGAGAATACCTTCTGAAGTGCTTTTTCCAATATTAAGGCAAGATCTCCCTTGCTGAACTATAGGCAATGCTGCCTCTCAGTTCCTTCCCCACTATATCATGCCACAACAATTAAACAAAGGAAAATACAGTTAATGTATTTGGGAAAGAAGATGATTTTTAAACAAAAGGTTTTTCAATAAAGAAAGACAGGATAAAAAAAAGAACTCACAAGCTATGGTTTAATTGAGGATAACCTAAAATATTTAATGTCGGCAAATTACAGAGGCGGCATGGCTTCCTTAGGTAACAGATGCATTGGCTTCTCACATTTCTGCTCTATAAAATCCAGAGTTGGATATATATCCAACTCTAAGCTTCATCACTCTGGTGCCATCTTCTGTCAAAAGCTTCATCACTATGGTTTAATTGTCGAAGCTCAATCCAGGCAAAGAGTAATTTATAGCTCCACCAAACTGCAAGAAAAGACAATTGAAAAAGCAAAGCAAGGCTTACCATCAAGGAGCGGCATCATACGCATAAGCATCGTGTTTCGCGTGGAATTAAGCTAGCGTCACTCCATAAAAGACAAATATGAGTCGGTCAAGCAAACATATTTCGCAACCATTGAGATCCTCACTCATGCATAAAAGTATGTTGTTGTGGAAAAACAATTTGAACATGGTGATTACTAGAAAAATCAAAAGGTATTACATGAGATCATTGAAACCTCAGCCCTCCTGGTCTATGCGTCTGAATCCAGGTGTGGTGCTACAGAAACAAACCTATTGCTACTGTGAAATGTGTAACATATTAGATAGTGACACAGACTGAAAAAGAACCTGTAGCAGTCAAAGGTCATATTGTTTATATTGAGCAGTGATAAGTACAAGTTCAAAAACGAAAATGGAAATGTTGATATATATTAAATTTATAAGGAGTTAACTCACTTTATCATATATGTATATCAGCAAGCTAGGTTTGGGAAAATGATTCCATCCAAAGATTGTCTAGCCAAATCTCAATCCGATGAAATAGTATACAATCTCAGGTTCTATACAAATTCAAAGCCAAAGCAAAAGAGTAATTGATGCCTACAATTAATCATGAAGCAAGTTAAACTGATAACTAAAACATGGAATTAACGCTATCTATGCATTGTGTTTTAAAATGTTCTCATTCAGTGAAAGGAAAGTATGCATAATAAGTAAATTAACTACATTTTTATGGTATATTTCCGTCAACTAAGTGCACTTGTTAAAAATATCCTACTCGTTGCCATTATTTCAAAGGTACATACGAGAATACCTTCTGAATTGCTTTTTCCAATATTAAGGCAAGATCTCCATTGCTGAACTATAGGCAATGCTGCTTCTCAATTCCTTCCCCGCTATATCATGCCACAACAATTAAACAAATGGAAATACAGTTAATGTATTTGGGAAAGAAGATGACTTTTGAACAAAAATTTTTCTGATAAAGAAAAACAAGACAAGAACAATTTAAGGAACTCAAAAGCTATTGTTTAATAGAGGATAACCTAAAATTTTAATATCTGCAAATTACAGATGATGCATGGCTTCCTTAGATGGCAGATGCATCGAATTCTCACATGTCCGCCCAGTGTTGGATAAATATCCAACTCTAAGCATCATCACTCTGGTGAATTCTTCTGTCAAAAACATTTCAGTATTCAGGAAAGACAGTGAGGTTTAGTGGTGGTTTTAATCAATTTAAGTATAACAACTTTTCTATTGCCAAAGGAAAGACTGAAAGATCAAATATAAGCTAACAAAGGGCTGATTTCCCACTGTAAATCCAAACTTTTAAACAGCACACATCAAATGGAGTACTAGTAGCATGTGTAAATACGATGGAACAAGGTTTGTGTAGACACCCAATTGGGTCTGGGCCCAGATCAATTGGGCCTGGCCCAAATGGGTAAGGCCCATTTCAATCCTGTATTTTTTTTTTCTCTTTTTCTTCTTTTATATTTTATGTATTTCATTATTATTATTATTATGTATATCTTTGTGTATTTATTTTTATTTAGATTAGATTTATATGTATTGTATGTATATAGTTATATATTTATTATTATTATTATCATTTTTTTTTTTTTGTAATATATTTTTGGGGTTTATCTTATGTTATTTTTTTTTATTATCTGTTAATTTTATCTGATTTTTTTTTTCCGAATTATTTGATATTATTTTTTTATTTTTATACTATCATATCTTTTGATTATCTAGTATTTTATTTATTTATTTTGATTTTAATTCTGGATGGCTAAGATTCAAAGTTGAAGAATCCCACTCTGGAGGGGAATTCAATCAGAAGAGTCCAGTTGGATTCAAAGACTGAATTCCCGTCCAAGGAGGAATTGGGATTGATCAGGAACTCCTGATCAACCCCCTATAAAAGGGATCCCCCTGGAACAGAGAAAGACAGAGAAAACAGTGAGCAAAGCTACTGATTTGAGAGAAAAAGGCGTATAGGAAGCTAAGAAAGGTTTAGGAGTGTTCTGAGAGTGAGGAGAATTTTTTTTAGAAATTTTTGGCGATTTTTTCTGGGGAATTTCTGGAAAATTCCAGATTCCGATTGAATTTTCCGACGCAGTTTGAATTTTTCGGTGAATATTCCGGTCAAACTTGAAGTTTCCGGCGATATGCCTAGTTTTCGACTAAAATTCCAGAAACCGACCAACTTCCGGCTAACTTCCGACGAAATTTTCCAGATTTCGGTGACATTTTCCAGAATCCGACGAACATTCAACCGAAGTTCTTCAGCCTTTTAGAGAGGAAGGAGGAGAAAAAGAGAGAAGAAGAATCCGAATAGGAGAGAAAAAAAAACATAAAAAAAATAGAGGAGGAATCTGAATAGTAAGAGGAATCCGAATAGGAAAAGGAGAAAAACTGAAAGGCATTGTTACGATGGCATGGAGAAGTAAGCCCCAAGCTTGCAGCTTGGACAGCTGATTTATCCTCTCCCTATCCTGATTCTGTCCCTGGTTTTGAAGTCGTCTGCCAACTTGGCGCATCAGCTCTTGCTTATTGGCCAGTATATGGTTGGACTCCTGGCCTCTTCCACTTAATTCTTGCCAGTGTTCGAACGACTTCATCACTGGCTCTAGGGTCCAAAGGAGACCTGCAGTTTACTTCGTCCTTTGATTATCTTGTTGATGAGGATACTGAATATAATTCTGCATCTGATTTATTGCTGGAACGCAACCGTGAACAGTGTTTGGTTCATCTTTCGATTCTTTCTCTTATATTGCTGATTACTCTTTTGCAGAAATTACAGGAAGCTAAGGAGCAGCAACAGAAAGAAAGATCCAGAGATCAGAAACTGACAAAAAATATTCCCTGATCCCGCTACCAATTTTGCTTGAGCACACCCCAAAATCCATCAGCCAACTGGCAAGAACCACAAACTATCTTTACTTTCGCCACCACTTTTGCCACAAAAACCCAACGAGTGTACTATCAAACCAGCAACAATTCCAGAACTTCATGAAGCCTTTGTTGAGGCCGTCAACCAACTGGGTGGCAGTGAAAATTTTGGATTCGATTCTTTTTGGTGGGTTTTGAATACTATGAGGTTTCTATCTAGTTTTTTTGGCATTTGGCGCAGTAACAAGGGGGCTTCGGGAACTTTTATTGGCATGGAGGCACGGCCTTCTTTATCCATTCAGAGACCAGGTGCAAAGCAGCCCGGTAACCTAGGGGTGTTTGGAGGAATGACATCATCTTTACCAGCTGTTTCAACACATTTGGAAAAGACATATTTAAAGTTGCCTGACACTCAACCGGTGTCCGCAAAAAGGGAACTGATGACAAGGCCTCTGGTCCATGCAACTCGTGTACCCCCCAATAGTGAAGTGTCACCAACTAATGCTGCAGCGTTGCCATTACTACAATCGTCAAATTCAGCACTGCCTCAATCTACAATATCGAGTCATTACAATAAAGAAAATAATGGTTCTTGGTCTACAGATCCAGGTTTTCTTGATTTTCCTGAATGGGCAGACCAGCTTATCTCTGACGATGAGGCTTTGGTCTCTAGAAAGGTAGACTGCGATTTTGATCTCGAATTTACACCAATTCCAGGATTTTTTTTCATAAATTCCAGCTAGAATACGTGAAAGAGAAGGCCAAGACTAGTTCGGCCGAAGGTTTCAAAGCAAACTGGTAATTGGATGAAGGTCGGGGAGCGACAGTCAACGGATATCAGTGACGGCGACCAGTGATGGAGGCATGGGGCGACACTGGCACCAGAATCTGGAAACCTTTGGGAATTTGCAGCTATGTATTTCTAAAAACTTTAGAAAAAGGGCAGAAATTGAAACGATGGCCTGTGTTCCATTGCCACCCGAGCCGTTAGCCCACATCAGCAAATGGAGCTTGAGCTACAAGTCGAACAGTTTCTTATGTGTGAAGTCAAGTTACAATCCTGAGTCAAGGTGTGTTTTATTTTGATATTTTTTTGTTGTTTTGCCTATTATTTATATATTAATTTTGAGTGAATTCAAAAAAATAAAAAAAATAAAATGATAAAATTTCAAAAAAAATATTTTTGAGGAAAAGTTGAAAGTATCAATTTTTCTTAAAAAAAAAAAGCTTTCCAAACTTATTTTTGGGGAAAAGTTGAAAGTATCAATTTTTCTTAAAAATAAATTTTCAAAAAAAAAAAATAAATTTAAAAAAAAAAGATTTTTGAGGAAAAGTTGAAAGTATCAATTTTCCTTAAAATCAAAATTTCAAAAAAAATATTTTTGGGGAAAAGTTGAAAGTATCAATTTTCCTTAGAAATAAATTTTCAAAAAAAGGATTTTTGAGGAAAAGTTGAAAGTATCAATTTTCCTTGAAAATCGAAATTTCCAAAAAATTTTTTTGGGGAAAAGTTGAAAGTATCAATTTTCTCTAAAAAAAAAAATCATTATTTCCTTCCTTTCTATCTTAATTTTGATTTTGTTTTTTTCTTTAAATAATCCGACGATGGAGCATCTGCAAGTGAAACAGTAGTTTTTCTTGCATACTCCTGAGGTGAGGGAATTTTCTCAATTTTCTGCTAAAAGTATTAGAGTTAATTGAGAATAATTTCCAACAATTAATTACTTGGTAAAATTTTAAGGCTTTTGGATAACACAAATTTAAGCTGGTACCATCTTATGATGGGCGTTGTGAGGGTGCTATAACCTTCCTCACACGTAACCGAACTCCCGAACCTTGTTCTGGTTTGTAGACCTGAACCTATTCTTCTAGGGACCCTTAAACTTAGGTGTTCCCTGAAAGGACAGATTCCTTAGGTGGCCAATCGCACCTAGATAAAAAAGATTGGTGGCGACTCCTTGAAAGTCAATGTCTAGCGATAGATCTCCGGATCTAGACGTTATGACAGCTTGGCGACTCCGTTGGAGACCTTGAGAGTCAGGCCAGCAAATAATTTGTGTTATCCAAAAGCCAAATGAAATTGAACCTTGTTGTATATATGTGTTGTTATTCATTCATGTTTTAGTTACCTTGTTAATTATGTCATTCATATGCATGTGCATAACATGAGCTCTATACCCGAGCTCCGTCCCTCTAGGAGGGAGTAAAGTACCTATTGCTTTCGTGAGGTCTAATGCCTCCGCAGTGGCTAGCGAAATACTCTCACTCAAATTGAACTTTTTCCGCTTGTAACCTGTAATGGGTGAGGATTAGGGTGCCTTACTAGTCTGTGATGGACAAGGATGTAAGGAGCAATTTGGGAACCTTTAGACTTTGACCTTAAACCACATATAGTGAACCTTAAGAGTGCCTAAACCTAGGATAGAGCCCTTTCTACCCAATGATAGATATACCCTGAAATTAGGACACAAAAAGAGTGTTTGTCTAATCATTTTGATTATTTAACTTTGTGTATTATATTTATCATATGTGACATTATGCATCAACATCACTTACGTTTCATCCACGGAACTAACTATGTTATTTGTCTGATTGTATGCATCTGTATTCTTTTCATGATCATGTTTCAACACAATCATTTGCATTCATTTCATACTAGATTTCATTCAAAAAATGTACATTTCATTTGTGTATCAAAGCATCATACATAAGGTACAGCATAACATTTCTAATCATAAGTATGGTACTCAAGGTCCGAGGATAGCTCCATCTAGCGAAAACCTTGCTCATCCATACAACACAAGATCCAGAGCAAGGCAAATGGAGGAGGAAAGTTCTCATAGATTTGAAAAGCTAGAAAAAGCTCAGGAGAAGATTGAAAATGAACTTAGCAAAATTCTGGAGGCTCTCAATAATATGAATAAAGGAAAAGGAGTTGAAGGAAGTACAAGCCAGCAAGAAGTGGCTGACCCATTGTACCCTCCAGGTTTTGGCCCACCTCAAGCCCAGTCTGCCCAAGAGGTCCCACCACAATATTTTGCATATCCAACATGTCCTGGAATGCCATCAGCTTTCAACCCAGGGCAGTATAATAGCTATATAAATCCTGTCTTCACTGAAAAGGCAGCAGAACCAATTCCTGATCTAGATGAAAAGAGAAGAGAAAGGAAAAGATAAGGTGGAAGCTGAGGAAAGTTCAAATTAGCATGCTAGAGCAGAGGCTACGGGCTGTAGAAGGATTTAGCTTTTATGGGTCAGTTGATGCTGCTGGGCTCTGCCT